CATCATACACTATATCAAAACACCATACACTATTATAAAGCATCATACACTACATCAAAACACCATACACTATTTTAAAGCATCATACACTATATCAAAACACCATACACTATATTAAACCAACGTAGATTGCATCAACATAGCAGAAACTGCATACCAACCAGAACTGTATCAAAGGAACGGACGCTACCCACCCGCCAGAGCAATGGTGTGGGTTTTACCTTGGTAGTGTTACAACTCTTCCCTTGATTTCTCGAAACGTTGCAAGACTCTGACACTGTCACAAGCATCCACAATAGCGTCTGTCCAGTGTGGTGACGATCTTCCCTCGGCATGTCCGGTGCACAATCCTACAGCCAGTTTATCATAGAGGGATCAGTTTCACTCCGCCGAATCACTCCCGATGTGTTTCTCTAGCGTTGGGCCGACGTGCAGGATGTCGTCTGCTCATCTCACACAAACACGCTGCTTCCTGAAGATGGCAACCGGAAGTCGCCTGCCTCTCTTGCAGCCTTCAACTAATCAACTCGTGGAGACACCGTGAAAAGATACATGAAGATACATGACGATATATGAAGATACATGAAGATATATGAAGCTACATGAAGATACACGAAGATACAGGAAGATATATGAAGATACATCAAGATACATCAAGATATATCACGACATATCAGGATATATCAAGATATACGAAGACACATGGAGATACATGAAGATAGATGAAGATATATGAAGATACATCAAGATACATAAATATATTTTAAGATATATCAGGATATATCAAGATTTACGAAGATACATGAAGATATACGAAGATGCAGGAATATATACGAAGCTACACGAAGATACATGAAGATACACGAAGATACAGGAAGATATATGAAGATACATGAAGATACATCAAGATATATCACGACATATCAGGATATATCAAGATATACGAAGACACATGGAGATACATGAAGATAGATGAAGATATATGAAGATACATCAAGATACATAAATATATTTTAAGATATATCAGGATATATCAAGATTTACGAAGATACATGAAGATATACGAAGATACATGAAGATACATGAAGATAGATGAAGATAAATGAGGATACATCAAGATACATAAATATATTTTAAGATATATCAGGATATATCAAGATTTACGAAGATACATGAAGATATACGAAGATACAGGAATATATACGAAGCTACATGAAGATACATGAAGATACACGAAGATACATGAAGATACATGAAGATACATGAAGACACATGAAGATACATGAAGATAAAAGTGAAGTTTTCAGGCTATAGCGCTCCTCAGTGCATGTATCAACATTGCTCCACATGCCAGCTCATCAATGTACCCATCAACATTGCTCCATGCGCAAGAGCTTTTTCATGCTACGCTCCCATGGACACACATGTTGCTCATAAGCGGGACACAGCGGTTGAAAGAAAAATGGAAAGCATCTTTGTCGAACTTGGTCTGACGATTGGATCAGATACAGAAACAGCATCAGAATGTGAAGACTAGTGCTGTGATTATCCAGTTATCTCTATGTAAATCCAGCTAGCAATATTACGTTTACAGATGGTATTAATTAAGGAGTAAGTCAGTGAGTCAAGTACCACTATGTTAAGGTCTCAACCTTCGCAATCATTTGATGAATGACACGACACTATTCATTATTACTCGGGAGTGAAAAAAGTATTCCATTTTTACAGTTAATGAGGTGGCACGGGTGGCCCAGTCGTCTAAGGGCGCCGCGATTCGCTGTGCGGGGTTGCGTCCCTTGGGCACGCCAGAAACCTATGATCGTGGGTTCGAATCCCGGTTCGTCCCGATTATGTTTCTAGGTTTGTCAGCACCATACCCGTGCTCGTGGGTTTCACCGAAGTGGTAAAAATCTGAGACCTGCATCACTTCGGGCTTTCCTCCCACAATAAGCTGACACGCCGTTATATAACTGGAATACTGTTAAAAGCGGCGTTAAACCAAACTCACTCACTCTCACACACACACACACACACACACACACACACAGAGTTGATGAATGTATATGGGAGGCTATGTGTATAGAGTACAGTAGAATGAGTGAGTGAGTGAGTGAGTGAGTATGGTTTTACGCCGCTTTTAGCAATATTCCAGCAATATCACGGCGGTGGACACCAGAAATGGGCTTCACACATTGTACCCATGTCGGGAATCGAACCCAGGTCTTCGGCGTGACGAGCGAACGCTTTAACCACTAGGCTACCCGACCGACCCTAGAATACAGTAGACGGGAGACTATGTGTATAGAGTAGAAGGGAGGCTATGTGTATAGAGTAGATGGGAGGCTATGTGCATAGAGTAGATGGGAGGCTATGTGCATAGGGTACAGTAGATGGGAGGCTATGTGTATAGAGTACAGTAGATGGGAGGCTATGTGTATAGAGTAGAAGGGAGGCTATGTGTATAGAGTAGATGGGAGGCTATGTGCATAGAGTAGATGGG